TGAAACTATGGGCCCTGGGTTTGAGCCTCGGTGGGAACATCATCACTACTCACTGGGGAATGCAGGTACATCCAGCTAGTTGACGAGTCCCAAATAGGACGAAATGCGCATCCTGGATTCCACTGCTAGTCACCATCCACCAAATAAATTTCAATTGCATGCCCAGACATCGTCGAAGCATCTGCACACGAAGCCGACATGTCAACTTGAGACCGAGCACTTCGGTCCAATCAATCGGCGGGAAAATCAAAAATCCAACTGGATATGTTAGAAACTTTTCTGAGCATGCTTTTTGCAATGACTTCAAGTTATAGATAGAAAGTATAAGCAACATAATTTCAAAGATGATGTAAGTAGACAATTATTTAGTGTTAAAATAGTAACCGTTACCATAGTAATTAGACAAAGGGGTGAAATTCAAATTTATCTTGGATACAAGTATGGACTAGAGACAAAATACAAGATAGAACAATAGAGTTAATTTATACTATATTATGGTGGAGAGTTCAGGTGGGTGGGGGAGAATAGTGAAGCAAAATTTTAAGATAGATAAAATAATTTAATTTAGTAGATTAAGAACCATTGTAACAATAGAAAGCAAGACACGGAAGCTAAGGTATATATTTAAGTGATCAAACCGCTATTTATATCTATACTGTTTATATTCTTTAAACAATCACTGAGCTTGTGATTTCCGTTCATATTAACCAATATGAAATAGAATGTTCAAATATACATACATATTATTCTGTTGCTGACTTACTATTGAACTGTGGGAATAGTATTCAGACGTTACTACCATCAAATACAATGATTCTTACTGTGAGAATGATATTCCGTTGGAACCCGTTGTCTGTATCACACCATTACACCTTAATAATGAGTTCAACTCAGTGAATGAAAATCAAAATCAAGGTTGAGTGAAATATTTTGCAACAGAACAAAACACAAAAGAGCACGAACAAAGAAATTAAGGTTACCAGTGTAGTGAGAGATTAGTCACGCTATCTTTCTGTATGCATACATTGGGTCGAAGTCTTTTTATGGTAATGGCTTCTGCTAACTAAAGTAACCATGCTTCTGGTTGGAGGACTTCATCATGAGCTGATATCAGTTGGAGAACCATTGGAAATTGGAAAACCTGCAGGGAGTACTAGAGAGCTGTTTTGTGAGCCTAGTGTGGGACTCTTAAGCAATAAGCACCCACCACAAGGGTTCGAACCCAAGACCTTCTGGTTATAAGGGAAGCTCGTAGACCATTGAGCCACAGTGAGACCAGAACCCCGGTGGGTGCGTACTGATAGAGAGTCTCAAACTAGGACGAAATAGCTGTCCAGGCTTTCCAATGGTTCTCTAACTGATGTCAGCTCGTGATGAAATCTTCCAACCAATCAAACAAAATCCCTTCAAAACAAATACTTGAAAATAACCATGCTTTTCTTTGTGTATTGATTATTTTGAAAGTCTGACTAATTTCCTCTGTATGTCCCGGGTCGGTCAATTAGGTGTCGGGAGATTGCGCTTGAGAACACTTTGCTGCCTTTCAAATGGAGACTTTTAGAGACGTTCTCGCAGAATCTAGTAGGCGCTGTCCTCTCAGTCCTTCCTATATACTTGCTGTCGCAAATGTAGATGAACTGGTAAGTGCATTTGGAGTTGACATGATCGAGACACTTATCTAATTTTGACTGGGTTAACCAGCATACTGTGTTGTGAAGTGGAATGAACTCATTGTAAAAAGTATGTTCAGACACCATTTTGTAACACATATTATTATTATTGTATCTTTTAATTCCTACAGGAACATAGGGCTTCAGCCGTGCGTCTCCATTGCGTTCGGTTCTCTGCTAGAGTCTTCACCTGGCTCCAAGTCTGCCCACACTCTTTCATCTCCTCTTCACATGACCTCCTCCAAGTCACCCTTGCACGATCAACTCGCCGCTTCCCTTTCGGGTTCCACTCGAGCAATGGCTTGTCTAGTGATGTCACTTGATGGTTTCCTCAGAGTATGGCCAGCCAATCCATCTCCATTTCTTCCTACCTATTTGTTTCACAATCGGTTCCTGCTGTGTTGGTTCGCTCCCAGAGATCCCTGTTGCTGATCTTTTCTGGCCGGCCATCTGATCTTGAGTATTGAGTGAAGACAACTGTTAACGAAGGTCTGTAGTTTGTTTGAGATGCTCTTTATGACGCGCTGGCCAAGTCTCTGATCCGTATAGTAGCACTGACTTCACATTGGAGTTGAAAATTCGGATCTTAGTTTTGATGCTGAGTGTTGTTGACCTCCACACAGACTTGAGAGTAGTGAAAGCTTGTCTTGCTTTTCCGATTCTTGCTTTGATATCCTCGTCAGTTCCGCCTGTAGTTGAAACGATGCTTCCCGGGTAGGTAGGTAAAGGTGGTTGTTTCTTCCAGGTTCCTTCATTTTATGCTGACTGTTGTCTGTTGTTGTTGTTGCTGTTGATGGTGTTGCCCAGGAATCTTCATCACCTCTGTTTTATCTATGTTCACCTGAAGTCCTATCTTTGATGCTTCTTCTGTTAACTTGTTGCTTTTCGCTTGCATGTCTTCCAGTTTGTGGGAAATCAGACATATATCATCGGCGAAGTCCAGATCCTCCAAGTTTTTTGTGTGTGTCCATTTTATGCCTGTTTCCTCATTTCCCGCTGTTTGTCGCATTATCCAGTCTACTGCAATCGGTAAAATCATTGGCGATAGTAGGCAGCGCTTGTCTTACTCCTGTCCTCACTTCGAAGGATTCCGTAAGTTTCCCGTTGTGGATTACTTGGCATAACACATAATTGATTTATTTAGAATGTATGCAGAATGCAGGCACACTTCCAAATAGGTTTCAACCTATTACTGTGAATTTTCTTACAGAAATAGAAGAGAAACATTGTGGATTACTGGAGCATGCCTCTGGTAAGGCGATATAGCTTCAGTGGACATATCATCGTCTATTATATTACTTAAATATTCTGCGCAATGAGGAAATTTCTTGCAATGGGAAACTTACTGGAAATCCTGTGTTGTGTATAAACGCATTTTCCAGAATATTTTTTAAAATTTTAATTATTTTGATTATAGCTTGATTCCACACCGTATTTTTGGGACAAGTATGGAATTTTCAGCATGTGATATCGGTAGCCCAAGTTTTGTAGGCCGACCATTGATATCAGGTGTGCGTCGGCAGGGGATTGAACGTCGGACCACGTGCATCACTTCCGTCTTATGTATGCTCACTTAAAGTTCTGTCTTCACTGCCTGCCTGTTCTGCTAACTTATTGGATTTCACCTGTAGATCTCCGAGTATATGTGACATCAGACACAAATCGTCCACGATGTTTAGATGTTCTAGAGTCTTCTTATTTATCCGACATATTCCTCTTTGTCTCACTCCCTGTGGTCTTCCTCATAATCCGAACCCCCGCAATCAGGAATGTCATCGGCGATAGTAGTCAGACTTGTCTAATTCTAGTCTTCGTTTCAAAGGCTTCTGCACTTTGCTTTCCTTTTTGGTTCACTTGATATATGGCACTGTCAAGTGGAAGAATTTATGAGGTATGTATCTGGATGACTTCAGAGCTCCTGTTAGTCTGTGGCGTTAAATGTTGCTTCCTAATTGTATCTAGGCTTCAGGCTTCAAAGTTGAACATATAAAAATTGCGTTTTCATGATATCATGCTGATACTATGCCCAGTCTATTTCATCAGGAGTGCTTTGTTTTCGGAGTGTCCTGCAACATTAATCTTAGTTTTACTTCGCTATGAAGCCAAACTAAGGATAACTGATAACTTATCCACTACCATAGTGCTTTCAATGACAGCTTAGTTCTACAGCAGACTTAACCACATAACATATCCACATCTCACTCACCTTCTAGTAGCCTAACTATTAATATCCTCTTATTTTTTGTATGAATTTCTAGTGTAAATATCAACAAGTAACAGAAAAGGATAGGGGCACATCTAAAAAAAAGCGCAAATGCAAATTATGGCCTCTTTTTTAATCATTACCAAAATGTATGTGAAAAAACGAAACGAAATTACAGTGCCAAAGAAGAAACTGTTTATGAGTCTGGCATTCAAAGGTGACACCATTTCGGAATTGATTAAAAATCTTTTATCTAAATGTATTAAACGTACATTTCCTGCAGCTGACTTACAACTAGTTTTTACCAGCCGAAATATGATTAGACAATGCGTCAAGGATAGATTACCGCTTTTGTCCACATCCATGTGTATTTACTCTTTTACCTGCTCTTGTGGAGCTGTTTATATTGGACGTTGTAAGCGTAATCTCCGAAAACGTGTAGCTGAACACTATCCAGTCTGGTTAATGAAAGGCGAACGTAGAACTGCGAAGTCGTCTATCTGTGATCACCGGTTAGAGTCAGGTCATTTAGCCCCACGTGATTCATCTTTCAAAGTTATCTACATGGCAAAATCGAATCGATCTAAAAGTTTACGTTTTCTTCACTTATGCATAGCCGAAGCTTTAGCTATACATGAACAGAAACCTAAATTATGTGTTCAAAAAAGTTTTGTCAAACCCCTTTCTTTACCTTGGTCATAGTAATGTTCTTTCTAGTTTTTACTTTATTTTATTTTACCACTTGAATTCTTTCCACTTCACTTCACATCTTCATTCTTATCGTAATCGTACTCTTATTTTTTTAAATTTTTAGACAACACTTGACATTTTTAAAACATTTTTGATTTCAATTCACTTATAAAACAATCTTTAATAATTTTGTAATTTATCCACTTCAACTCTACCCCTTATAATATTTTAATAATCGTTATTCTTATCACATATATGTATATTGACTGAGCAATTATTTAGTGCCACTTAATGACCTTTTCTGTAATATAAATACGACTGTACAGCTTGAAAATGGAGTCGTTGAAAAGAAATTTCTTCGCTGAACAAAAATTGTGTTTTTACTTATGAAACGAAATACGTTCAATTTTGTAATTTATATTTTTATTAACAAATATAGGCATAAAAAACGCATACTGTGTAGAAAGATGCAATAGAGACACACGCAGTCAGTCCTCTTGTAGAAGTGGTTTTGCTCGAAAATCACAAAAGAAACAACAAATAACCGTGTCTTCACAATAAGCTGATCGACAGCATACAGGACATTTGAATAACTGTATCAAAAAAAGAGAGGAGAAAGGTAAAATGTGTAGCGTGTAAATTAACTGATTGAAGATGGCCATTAAAAACAATAAAAGATTGATTATTGAACAAAGAATATTCTTTTAGACAAATTCGTCATCAGATTCTTCATTTATATGACAGTAAAAATTAAAGAATTATTAGACGTTTGTATAGAAAACCTACTTCCACTGGCCAATATACTAACTTTCTGAGCTTCGTACTTCTATAATACAAACGTAATCTGGTTAGATGTCTGGTTCACCGGGCTAAAGTTTTCTGTTCAAATGAGACACTGAATGAAGAACTCGGTAATATTCGCGATCTACTAAGTAGAAACGGATATCCAACTAGATTCGTAAACAAACACATGAACTCCGAAAGTAAAAAGTCGAAGTTGCCGATTGTCCCCAAAATGTCAGTCTTTCTAAGGTTACAATTCACGGATGATGTCAATAGTGAGGTATTATCACAACGTCTGAGAAGGGCCTTCAAAAGGACTTTCAACGCAGCTAAGTTTTGCTGTATTTCACTAGCCGACCATAACTGAGTTCAATAAATCACGGAATATACACATTGGGTCATAGGAGTTAATAAAAAGACAATTGCAGCGAAGAAAATTTTCTTTTCGACGAAGTCATCATCTAGGCTGTACATTCGTGTATTTATATCAAATGGATAGGAAAGTTCCAGAATAATTTCTGGTTAGGGGTCAAATTAATAAAAAATTACAATTAGGAATTAAAATGACATAACAAACAGGGGGATGGGTAAAACTCAAACAAAGTAGCATAATAACTAAGAAGATTGACATTGTGCAATTGGGGGTTAGAAATGTAGAAATAACAAAATATACAGGATGTTTGGATAAAAAACTAATATGATGAATAATTGTTTGTGCAATCAGGGATTAAATATATAGAAATAGTAAAATGACAGAATAAACAGGAAGAGTGGGTATGAAAATATGGTAGTGTAAACAGGGTTTAAGAAAACTTAAAATAACATGAATAAACAGGAAGTTTAGATAAGAAAGGCGATGAGATTGTCATTACTAAAAATTTTACCTGTTTATGATGGCCATGGTGGGGAGAGGGGTTGGACGTAATTCTTTTGGATACAAAGTGTGGATTTGAGCTTTTGGATAGCTAGCGCCTCAGCTATGCCCAGATGTCTTGATTTGATTCCCTTTGATAGGTTTGATTGAATTTTGTATATATATTACCCTGTTTACACTACCATATTTTCATACCCACTCTTCCTGTTTATTTTGTCATTTTACTATTTCTATATATTTAATCCCCGATTGCATAAACAATTATTCATCATATTAGTTTTTTATCCAAACATCCTATATATTTTGAGTTCAATAAGTAAAGACAAGCTGTCCTGTTTCGCCTCTTCCATGTGTATTTACCAGTTTAACTACCCATGCGGAGCTAGTTACATCGGGTGTATGATCAGGCAAGTTCATCGTCAAATTTCTGAACACCTCCCATCTTGGTTTGTCAAAGGTCCGAATACAGCTATACGCAACTCAATACTAGCTCATCGCGTCGACACTGGAAATCGAGTCAACTAGAGCTATGTTTTCAAAGTTATTTATCGTATATCACCCAACCTCGCGCATGGTCTACGATTACGACTTTTACATACAGCAGAGGCAATCGGAATTCACCTGAACAAGCCAAATCTGTGTGTGCGTTCAAAAGAAATTTGTACAGCCTCTTTCTTCGCCATGGTGAACTACATAATATGTATTAATTTTTTAAAAACGATTTTTCCCCTCCCCTTGTAACTATCTTTTGACTTTGTTAATTTTTACAATTCTAGCTAATTCTATTAACTTGTTTGTTTGTATTTTACGTAACTCTTCTGAATCATCCTATTCTTCTTAGTCATCATTGCTATTTTAAAAACTTGATTATGTAATAACTTGTTGCTAACCTCCACGAATTAGCTGATCTTGAATTCTGTAATTAATTTTCACCCTCCTTCAAAACCTAGATATCTTCTTACTGACATCTATTGGTTATTTTTTTTGATGACCTTTAACCTCTTGATTTTACTCCCACCTATACCTAAAACTGATTAACTAAAATAGCCACTTGATTGGTAAAATCAACTTTGTTGTAAAAAACAACTATATATTAGTGTAGAGCCAGCCAGCGGATGATGAGGAACTGCTAATTGAAAAGGAATGCATATTTCTTCCCTCAGTCTGCTGTTTTCTTCTAAATGTGTAAATGGGAATTTGGAAATTGAAGAATTATTATTATTATTAACAATATTAATGTTGTTTGAAATTACAATGAATCAATAGTATCGACAGGTGATTACATTTCAGATTCAATATCAGATGAATTATATATATATATATATATATATATATATATATAGCATCTATATTTCTCGTAACTACTTATTATTCAGTTGGGTTCCAAATGGAACATGGGACTTCAACAGCACATCTCCATTTCACTCGATTCTCTGAAGCTCTCTTCAGATGGCTCCACAATTGCCCATAGACTCCCATCTTCTACTCACACTATCTCCATGTGACTCTTGGACGCATAAATCGCTGTTTCCCATTCAATTTCCACTTGAACCTTTGACTGAAGCGCTACGTCATTCAGCAGTCTCCTCAGATGGTGTCGAGACCACCGCAATTCTCTCGGGAATATTTGTTGAGCAATAAGTTCTTGATTGGATTGTTGGTTGCCAGAGTTTATTGTTGCTAATTCTTTTTGGTTAGAAGTCTGATCTTCAGCGAAGTGGGCAACTGTTGATAAAAGTCTGAAGCCTGTTGAAAATTTTACTCGTGACGCTCCAGGTTTCTGACCCATGTAGAAGAACTGACCTAACATCGGTGTTGAAAATTTGAATCTAGTTTCTTATGCTGAATGCAAACTGATTTAGGATTAAAAAAGGTCTCCCCTTCTTTCTCGATGCTGGTTGGGTTTGACATCCTCATCTGTGCCGTCCGTCTGTAGTCGAAACAATGCTGACTAGATAAGTGAAGGAAGTAACCACTTTCAAATTTTTCGCGTTGATAGCGATCTGTATTTGTTTTTGATGCTGTTGTTGGTTATCTTCATCACCTCCATATTCTCTGTTTTTATTTGAAGTCCTGCCTTCACTGCCTACCTCTTCTCCAAACTTGTTGGTATTTGTCAGAAAGTCTTCTAGTTTGTGTGACATTAAACATAAATCACCCGCGAAATCCAGATCCTCTGGAGTCTTCTTAACAGTCCTTCGTATTCCTTTCTTCTGGCACCGTACGGACAGTGTTCCGCATAGTCCAGTCCACCACAATCAGGGATATCATCGATGGTAATGAGCAGCCTTGTGAATTAACTAGTATTCTAGGCGAGGTTTCTCGTAATTATACTTATATAATATAACAAACAGTTTAGTACTGAATCCTTTGGGAAGGATTTCATGAATAAAACATCCATTAAAGACCATTCACACTCACTTATTTCTACATATAACATATTCAGGTGTGTGTGTATAAAAGAAATTTAATTTTACGGAAACACATACTTCACTTACCGGTACAGATGATTTCATTCGACCAGGTCTTCCAAGGCATATTTGACACAGTAATAAGTCAGTACAATCATGAGTCTAAAAATGAATAAATTTTTTTCAGTGATAAATATGAAGAACTTAGTATTCTGTTAAAAGCTTTGATAATTCCTAATGTAACATTATGAACACAACAGTCAGAGAAGGGAATCTTTTCAACAAATTAATTATCAAGCTGTACGACTTTTAAGGAACTGTATCCTGTGAGGAAATTTGAACAATGTGTGAACACTTATGATAATAAATGTAAAATGCAACAAAATATTTGTGATCCTGATCATAATTTAATATCAAGCGAAAAAAAAACAGATTACGTAATCTATGAAATAGTTTACAGATTGCATAGATCGTGAGAAGGGCTGCAAAATTAAAAGAACTTGTAGGATTAGTAGGCAGATAAAGCATTATGTAACACGGTGAGAAGTTTGGTGAAACACACTTTAATACTGTGACAAATATATTAAATTAAAATAGTACTCGAAACTGGTCAAAGTGAAAACAGAAACAATAATAATGAGTAATAATAAGGGAAACATACACAAACTAAATAAACAAAGTGAAAAATAAATTAAATGTCTTATCCCTCCTTTCTGTTCTACAAACAAGGTAAAAATAGGGACTGTACAAACTTCAGTTTACAAAGGTCTCGCTTAGATTCATGATAGCCAAAGCCAACACTGTTCTTAGAAGTTGGAAACGAAGAATGTGTGGCCCTGAAATAGCATGAATTCCATAAATAATCTTGAAATCATTGTCGGGGTCGGTGGAGTCACAGAAGTCGGTCAAGTGTCCTACAGTAGACATTCTTACACTCTTCCTGTTTCTCTTCTAAAACTATGCTGAAATGTGCCCTTGTATCTGTTGAGAAAGCATTTTTTGGCTATTTCTGATGTTTATGTATAATCCCCATCCAGGCATTAATGAAAACAAAACACGTAGATCAGCGAAGAGTCTCTTTTCGGCGAATTCATTTTCTTAGCTGTACAATCGCAAATATATATGTGTTATTTTGTATGTATGTGTACATTAAGTTTGTCAAACAAAAATACAATTGGTTATGGTTATTTTAACTAAACAGGTGAAGATTGGTAATTGGAGTTACGTAATACAAAATCAGTCAAGAAAATTAGGTGTTATGGAAATTAGGGTAGTAACAAAGGTGATGAGTTGTCACAAACAGTTGTTAAAAAGGAGTTACGTAATAATATGAATAGTTTGATGAGTGAGTTCTACTCAGGATGCACATATTTTATTTTTTTATTTGGATGACTTAATTTTGTTGCTTTGCCTGTTCTACCCTAATTGCTTATAATTCTTGTATTCATTTAGAACTCTTACGTAATTTCGTATTTTCTACTTTGTTTCTATGTGCATCCTGAGTAGAACTCACTCATCAAACTATTCATATTATTACGTAACTCCTTTTTAACAACTGTTTGTGACAACTCATCACCTTTGTTACTACCCTAATTTCAATAACACCTAATTTTCTTGACTGATTTTGTATTACGTAACTCCAATTACCAATCTTCACCTGTTTAGTTAAAATAACCATAACCAATTGTATTTTTGTTTGACAAACTTAATGTACACATACATACAAAATAACACATATCTATTTGCGATTGTACAGCTAAGAAAATGAATTCGCCGAAAAGAGACTCTTCGCTGATCTACGTGTTTTGTTTTATTTCTGATGTACCTTGCTTTACAAGAATAGATGGGATGGCAACTACACACAGAGGCAGTCTGATAAGGCAGCTTATTTTCTAAGCAACTGGAGATTTGCCATGAAGAATGTCTTACTAGCTGATTTAGAAAGACGATTTTTGAGCATATCTGAATCCTGACCATCTTTAAATTTCAGTATAATGAAGATGTTTTTGGAACGGAGATACTGAGAACTTTAGAGTGTTCATCTTCCATGTTTGTATCACTGAAACGGTTGGAGTAAGTAACCTTTTTCAGCAAGTGTGGCTCTTGGGAAAGAAAGTTCTGAGTTGACGCAATCTGGATTACAAGTCAGTCAAATCCTATAGCAGAGAGAATAAGATTTCTTTGGTCTTGCTTTCTTAGCTGGCTGACTTTAGTACGAAGCTTTCATTGTCGTCGTTCTAGGTAGCATCTTCAGCGCAAGCTTCAATATGAAGTGAAGTTATTTGAATTATCCATGAATGATAGAATTGTATCTCTTGACAATCACTGGCGTGATAGATTAATAATTTACATCTTTATTGATCATTTTGATTGACTTGAAAATTGAACTTTCTTATCATTATTAAGTAAATTAAAAATACCCATAGTGTAATTAAAAAGGATGGTTTGGAGCGAACAATTGTTTTCGATAAATTTTTCCTCAGGTTCTACAGTTATAATATTCATGGATTTATAACTTTGGAACCTGAGGAAGAATTTATCGAAAATAGCTGTTCGCACCAAACCATCCCATTTTTTATTAGTTGTTAGATTTGATTTGTAGTAATGTGTTTCTTGATTGCTAATTCATCTGAGCACCAGGTTTCTAGAAATCCCCTGGCATTTTTGGCGTTTCCTCTGTTTGAAATTTCTAAATTTTCCCAATCAAATTGGAGTCCATAATTATCTATATGTATAGATATGAAAGAATACAAATCGTGTCTATTCACAGGTAATTTATAATCTTGGATTCTGGGTCGAAGGGGACACCCACTTTGACGATTGTAGTGTTTACCACAGTTTATGCAACTTATCTTGTAGATGGCATTGATATTAACTTCTTTTGTTGTTGAATCCTTTGACCTGCTCAATATTGAATGAAATGATTGTGTAGGCTAGCACGTTATATAAATTTCAAGTGGTTTTAGCATTCTAACCTTTATTTCAGAGACATTCTTTGTAAACAGCAGAATGGACTTTCATGTGGTCTTTGAGAATGGTTTCTTGTTGTTATTACGACTTGAGTTTAAACATTTTTTGATGAAATTGTATAGCTGTTAGCTCCTCTTGAAGACAGTTTGTAGGTATTTCTCTTCCATTCCCTTCAGCACTGAAGTGCACTACGGTATCCCTGAACTTTTTTAAACAATATCTGTACACAGGATGCGCATTTCGTCCTATTGGGGACCCATCATCTGGATGTATTTACATTTCCCAGTGAGTGATGATGTTCCCACCGAGGATTGAACCTAGAGCCCGTAGCCCCAAATGCCAAAGCGTTATTCACTAGACCACCATCATCGCTCACTGAGGAATGCAGGCACATCCGGCTGACGAGTCCCAAACAGGACGAAATGTGCATCCTGGATTCCACTGCTAGTCACCATCCACCATTTAAATTCGAATTACATGCCCAGACATCGTCGAAGCATCAGCACAAGAAGCCGACGTGTCAACCTGAGACAGAGCACTTCGGTTCAGTAGACGAGAAAATCTAAAATTCAATTTTAAAAATGTTTGTACACAGTTTCTTCTGTGAGTCATCGGATTATCACTGTTTTAGTTGAGTATTTGATCTGTGTATGTGTGTTGATTTTCTGTATACTTTTGTTTCCACATTTCCTGAGTTAGTTGTCTTGATTGAGATATCTAAGAATGGAATTTTGTTGTTGTAATTCTTCTTCTCTTGTGAACTGAATGCCTTCAAATATGTTGTTTATTAATTTGTGGGTGTATTTCAAGGTACCCAGATTTTTGGTTCGATTATGGGTGATAGAGTTATCAGTTGTAGTCTCTGAGTAACGGCCTCAGTTATTAGCCGTGATATGGGCAATCCCTTTGGTGTTGCTTTTATCTGTCCGTACATCTGATTATTGAGTTCGAAATATGTTTTAAGGCATAATTCGATGAGTTCCATCCAAGCTGAAGTTATTGTCTAGAAGGACGTTGAAAGCTTCGCAATTAAATCAACTAGCCTAGAGATTACAACCAAATAGAAAATACTACTTGTCGCTTTATTAGTAGTCACTTATATTTTGCGTGAAGCTCGTAATTTATAATCCATTTTAATTTTGCATTTCACTTGATCAAGCATTTTTATTTAAACAAAATATTTGACTCAAGAAATTAGTAGTAGTATTAGTAGTAGTATAACTGTAAGACCCAATATATATTCAACTTACTCTACGTTGTGGACAAATACCATTAAGGCAAGCATCAATCGAGGTAACTCGACAACAATTGCATAAATCTGCAATGGACAGGCAACATGGACAACAGCTGAAGGGCTGAAATGTTTTAGTCGGCTGTTTGACACTTGGTTTACGATTAGCTAGTATAGATTTCACAATGGCATAGATTATTCCAATGACTATTAGATAACCGAATCCACAAAGTAACAGCAAGAATGGAAATGGTATTGATAAGTCATATATGAAATTTTGAAAAGCTGTTGTTCCTCTTTTATTTGCTAGCTCAGATGCAGCTATATTTGCCGGGACATTGAACACCTCGACCTGTAGATACATTTAAACAAATTAAGGAATTAATTTGAAAAAAGTGAAATAATGAAGACAACAAATATATGCTTCTATGAAAGACAAGTCTGGGTTATAAAAAGATATTATTCTGGAATAAAAACCAAAACCATATCGTTATTATGATAGGCTAAGTGAAATTGGACAGTATAGAAAAATCCCCATTTAGACACTTAGAAAGCAAAAGGATTGAGCGAGGAAATATTTACTTTTCAATTAGATCCTCGTCTATTCTCTGGTTCTACTCTAATACATATCCATAGCACTTTTAATACAATACACAACAATTTACCAATCAAGTGGCCATATGTTTTTTGATTGGACACTAGTAACTAGTGTGATGTGTCTGACTGACTGGTTTCAACGTAGAACTTTGCACTGATGTGCAGCAGTTCGAGTCGCCACACTCCCTCCATGTAGCACACAAAGCCAGAGAAGAAGAAGAAAGTAAAAAGAAATGCAAAATAGAGACAGTAAACAGAGATATGAGGCAAAAAGAATAGTAATATCGAAGAACAATATAGTTTTATTGGATATTATAAGTCACAAGGAGTGGATGCATCTGCCAGCCACTGAGAACGATTTTGAGCCATGTCACCGATTATCTGCAGCCATTGGTTTTTACTGTCCCAAGGACCCCAACCAGGAAGTCTACACCTCCCTACGTGGCTGCTAGCTTAAACTAACTTTGTGGATTTCATTGACTGATGAGGCCATGTTTCAGTTTGACCACCACTGGCTCTTTTCCAACCTGACCCTATGTCAGCTAACATTACCCATCGGTCGAGGAAGGCGATGGCTAGGCATGCGTAACACATGTCCTAACCATCCCAGTCGATGTAACTTCACAGCCTCGTCGATTGGTTTCCCCTCTTCACCTAGCACTCGTGATGTGTCTAGTCCTTTCTTTGATGCAGACTGAATTCTATCAGTCAGGTTTGGCAATTGCCTCCAACCATCTAATGGCCATATGTTTGTTAACAATAATTAGTCAGTATCAACATATCAAGGGGGTGATAATTAACGAAGAAAATTAATACACACAATTAAAAGGTAGAAATGGTTACCAAAAGTGCATAAAAGTGGTTTGCTACTTCGACCAGTGCTGGATGTGTGTAATTCCGCATATCACATGCAACAGCAAAATGGTTGATGAGGCTCCTAAAACCTCTGCATAACGAATTAGTAAAACATAGTGTAAAAGATAGTTTTGAATTTGTCGATAAAAAATAAGAGATCTTAATGTGAATGACAAGTTTATGATATCTTTTGCTGTATCCTCCTTATTCACCAATGTACCATTAATGGAGACAGTGGAATTTATAATGTGATGAGATTACTAAGCGAAACATAGACATCGGTATTTCTGTATCCTCCATGAAGAAACTTATTCTAAGATGTACAATGAATGTTCATTTGTTATTCAATAAGGAATACTATAGACAGACTGATGGTTTGGCTATAGGTTCCCCAATAGGTCCAATCCTAGCTGATTTTTCCTCACTAAGTTAGAGAATGGACCTCTGAAAGGAGTAATTAATGATTTGTAATTCTACCGTCGATATATGGATGATACGTTTCTGGTTATGAAAAACGAGAATGAAGCAATGAACATCTTCGACAAGTTCAATGATGCCCATTCAGCAATAAACTTCACCATAGAGAAAGAAAGTAATCACAGTATCTCATTCCTAAACGTCTTCCTGGCAAGGAAAGAAGATGGTACACTAAGAAGGAGTGTGCATAGGAAGCCTACAACAACAGGTCATTAAGATTAATAACGGTCAGTACACTCATTTTTTGAGTTTTGTACCTTTGAAATATAAACGTAACTTGGTAAAGTGTCTGGTTCATAGAGCTACGATAATCTGTTCAAACAACTCCCTCAATGATGAACTTAAGATTATTAGAGAATTACTCAGTAAAAATGGTTATCCAGATAAGTTCATTGAGAAAAATATGAATTTAACACCAAGGAAAGTCATCAGTATGGCAACAGCTCCAAAAAAACCATTGTTCATAAAACTGCAGTTCTTCGGTGACAACATCAGCGAAATAGTAACACAGCGCCTGAAAAATGCAGCTAAAAGAGCTTTCAACGCAGTAGAGGTACTTTGTCTCTTCACTACCACCCCTATTTTACGTTCGAGAAATAAGGAAAAATTACCTAATTTTGCCTCCTCTCTATATATATCTACCGATTAGGCAGGTTCATCATCATAACTCCGAACATCATCCGGCATGGTTAAGCAAGGGACAAACAAGATCTATTCGTAGCTCTGTTTTACCACACTTTGTAGATAGTGAGCATAAAGGTTGATGTTAATACAGCATTTAAAATTATTTATCACATTCCTACTAATCTTAATTTTGCTTTATGAGTTTGGGTTCTACATACAGCTGAAGCCATAGGAATCCACCTGAAGAGGCCAAACCTGTTTGTTCAGAAGAAATTTGTACAGCCACTTTCCTTACCCTTGGTCATCGTCACATGAATGTACAAATCGGACTACTTCGCCCTCCCCCTAAAATTATAATTGTCCAAATTATTTTATTATTGTTCTGTCTACTTCATCTTTAATTACGTATTATCATTGTCCAAATTACTTCATTCTTATGACTACTTCATCATTTTTAAAACAATTAGTTCACTTTATGAATTTAGACAAAGCAATAAAAAGATGTAATTTGTTTGAATCGTGTAGTGTATTCAATCTGATCACACATCGACTTGTCCAAATTGTTTTTTCTTTTTCTTTTTGATAATCTGTTACGTAATCAATTTGGGCACTCTCTTATTCCTTAATTACTCTTCATTTTTCCACAGTTATGCATTACGCAATCATGTGTTGCAACCATTTCTACCTTTTAATTGTGTGTATTAATTTTCTTCATTAATTATCACCCATTGCCCTGACATGTTGATACTGACTAATTATTGTTAACAAACATATCAGTGCCACTTGATTGGTAAATAGTTGTATATTGTATTAAAAGTGCTATGTATATGTGTATTAGAGTAGAGCCAGAGATGAGATGAGGATCTAATTGAAAAGTATTTCTTCAAGTGTTGGTTTGTAGGGATTTGATTGGCTACAGGATTTTCATCATGAGCTGACATTAGTTAGAGAACCATTGGAAAACCTGGGAGTACTGGACAGCTGTTTCGTCCCAGTTTGGGACTCTTCATCAGTACGCACCCACCGGGATTCGAACCCAGGACCTTCTGGTTTACAAGGCGAGCTCGTATACCATTAAGCCACTGGGACCCGATCCAATGGCCCATGAATTCTAACTTCTGCCGATTCACGACATAGCGCGACCACTAGCCAATGTCTTCGGCGAGTATTTGTCCTCACACCCGACCTGCTGCACCCTACTGGTCACGACTTCTCACTAGAACCCCAGGTTACTACCTACCTGAATAGGGCCATTGGATCGGGTCCCAGTGGCTTAATGGTATACGAGCTCGCCTTGTAACCAGAAGGTCCTGGGTTCGAATCCCGGTGGGTGCGTAGTGATGAAGAGTCCCAAACTGGGACGAAACAGCTGTCCAGTACTCCCAGGTTTTCCAATGGTTCTCTAACTAATGTCAGCTCATGATGAAAATCCTGTAACCAAATATTTCTTCGCTGTTTAATCCTTTTACTTCCTAAATTGGACAATGTTAGAAGAGTGGCTGAGCGGAGTAGACATAGAAGAAAGTCTACAGTATTTCCGTTACATAAAATATTCAATAAATTAACCTAAATCCACAGATGAAAGTAAAGTGGGACGCTTGAGATTTACGCTTAGCAGATTTTAGAGGTTTTGTGATTTTCCTCACAGCTTATGTCTTAAAATGTTATAGGGCAAACATAAAAAGGCAGAGAGCGAGGAGTGCGAATGCACCAATGACCTTAAACGCATACCATTCGTTGGATTACAGAACCTGCCATATCAAAAAACCATTTATTCACTAGACCAGAAAGATTAACATGACAATGAACCATATTAAAGACGATATTTTACCCAGCTACAATGAAGGGTATCAGTTTTCAAGTTTCATAGGTGTCAAGATGGTTTAATCTACATGAACAACAAAACACTCTCCTTACATTTATTGATTTGTAAAAACACATACAATAATGGTGAAACACCCCAACCCTAACCTTAATGCTAATCCTAACCCTAACGTGCTATCAATCCATTGTCCAAACAGTACTTAAAAACGAGATCAGGAAGGAATTCACGCCTCAGTTCGTGCACGGTGTTCATACTGGCGCTGCAATAACGACAGGTTCTATAATCCAACGGACAGCGTGCACTCAAGGTCATTGGTGAGTTCACACTCTGTGGTCGCTAGTCTTTAGGTTGACCTGTGATAGATCTTCAGGAATCGATTAAATTTTTCTTGTATATTATTACTTAGCAGTCATGATAACTAATCCATAGTCTTTGTCAGATCAGAGGACCATAATTCGTGCGTCACCCTTAAAATTATTTGAATTCCGTTATTCAGCCAGTTTATACATGTTCTATTAAGTGCGTCGGTGGCATAGCGGTTAGGACGCTCGCCGACCATGCACATGGTCCGGGGTTCGATCCCCGGCCGGCGCACTCCTTTACCTCGCGCAGAGTGTGAGGCTAGCAACCACATCCTGTAAAATAACACTGCTACAGAATCTTCAAGCTATTGAAGCCCTATGTTCCACTGGAAGTGAAGAATAAAAAAATATGTACACCTATTATTCGTTGAATTGTATGTCTGGAATGTTGGCCATTTTCCTGTCCATTCTGTAAAATAAACTACTGAACATTCATGAAAATTTCCCTGTGTTAAATATTTATACGTTGATTATTTACGTAGTTAACGGAAGTTTGTGAAGCCGTTAAGATTTCATCGGCGTATTTTCACTCTCCTCTGCAAGTGCTGTTCTTATTAGGGTCTGTTGGAGTACTGCAGTTACTCTAGTCTTCTTCTTAACACGAATTTTAAGCCTGCTAGATGA